CATTATGCAGCCAGAGTTTTTTTTTAATTCTCCCTTGGGAGAAGGCACACAGGTGACATTTACTCTAGCCTATATTTTATTTGGTTTATTTAGACAGCAGTCTCGTTTCTGCATGATCAAAACAAGTTTTGGGTAAATATTTTGAAAGTCTAGATAGGAAGTGGTATGTCTTACTCGGGTTACCTTGCCCATAGTGAGCGTAGTTTATAATATTGCAGCGAAAATCTAGGTAACGTACGGTACATAGCCTTGTACATTTAGTGAGGAAGGATGGGTTGCTCATATTTAACACCCAAACGAAGGAAATGATGAAAAAGCTGGAAATGCACGAGCTTAATATTTGCTTACTCTATAAAAACGCGGATAATCAACGGTACCTCGCTCGCGCTCCTCTGGAAACAAAGCGACACTGACCAAATGCGGATTTCAATTTATTCACGGCTTCGGCTGTGTAGGTGGGGGCTTCGCTGGCTGTCTCACTGTTGACAAAATACACAGCGACCGGACTGCGTTTTGTCTAAGTATCACCGGCGTTTTTAGTAGAACAATAGTTTTACACCCTGACTACAACGAGGAGGAGAAAGCATTTCGGGTGGCGAGATGCGCTGCTGGGAAGACTTCGCCCGTCCCTGAGCTCCAGCATGGGAGAACGAAGCAGGTAATGTTAATGGAAACTGCTTGAAGCCAACCAGTAGCGGCGTGGTGTAAGATTTTTCATAAATGTTTGTCGACATTAAACAGTTGTTGTGGGCTCTTGGTTACAATGCCCCGTGATTTCGTTGTCCACAGAGATGTAACTAAATTCTCCATGGACTCTCCAGCAGTCACTCAGTTTGTCATCTCAACCATTTTGGTGGCATAACAACGAGCAGATGACTAAATCGTTTCAAACGAAGCTGTTAACGCAACACTGTCGTATATCAGGGTGAAGTGCTGTAGGTGATGGGGGGTAAATGAAGTGAAGGCCTGCTACAATTGATTTTACAAACATTTAGAACAAGTTAAATTTTGAAAGCCATCTATGAGGTAAGGTCAAAGGTTTGTCAGTCTGTTGCTGAAATGCTTGGATGTGATTTGCCTTAGTGTATACAGTGCAGTCTGAAGTTCTCTTCCAGGGACACCATCTTCATGTGTCACCAATGGCGGAACAATATAGTGCTGGGCCTGGGTGCAGACCATACTACCAGGCCCTCACCCCATAATTCAGTTCCTATAAAAAGGGCACTAGACTGCCAACCATCTTCCTACATTAGTCTCTCTAGCACATAGCACATACTCAGACAAGCAAAAATGAACATCAGTTAGTGACAAGGCTATGGACACTGTGGCAGATGCAACATGGACATAATTAAACAGTCAACATATTCATTCAGAGTCCATAGTAAACAGAAGGTCCGTGACACTGCCATGGACATGAACAGACAATTCAGCTGCCAACAGCAGACCTGAATCACATGTAGCTGTACAAGCAAAATAAATATCATCACGAGTGCATCAACAGTTACACTTCAACACCACCACCTAATGTAAACACACACAAAACTGCTGCTACAACATTGTAACTTGCAACTCATCAGCAGCTAGAGGATAATGACTGTACTCACCTATTTGATTGACAATCTGCTGGCCTTGGGTCTATCTTGGTCAAATGTCCTGGTTTTATAATTTCCAGTGTTGAAATGTCCAGTCTATGGCTTTGTGGTAATGAAGGAGATGCCATTGTACTGCTAGCCATGGCATCCTCTTTTGTTTTTAGCTAATGTTAGCTCACCTTTGCCCACATTTGCTGACAACAATGCTGAGCAATCAAAAAAAAAAAAAGAAAAATCCAGTTTCTTCAGTTTTGAAAGGTCATATTCCAAATCTTCTTGCTTCTCATTTCTCTTTGAGCCCCGCTCTTCTTTCCGTTGCATGTCTGTGGCATATGAATGAGCATGGGCTTTTTTTTTTTTGAGCTAATGTTTTATGCTAGTGAATGCTGGGAGGTTGTGTTTGATTTGGGTAGCTTTGCATGCTTCGTGGGTGGTGCAGAAGTAGCTATAACCTATGAAGAGGTAAAATTACGGTAACCTTAATGGCAGCACATAATTAGTCCCTCAACTGACATAGCAGTGCTGTACATTGTTGATTAACATTATTTGGACATTCACAATGTCCTGAGAGACTGCTCAGACCCCCAGATAGCGCAGGTCGGGTGCAGCTGCACCGCACACACCCCCCTGACACTGCACCAGTGTGTGCCCCTGAAATGACTACTATTCCAAAAAAAAGAGTGACTCTAAGGATTTAAGTAGCTGACAACCTAATTGTGGAATTTACTTGTCACTGAGGACTACATGTTAGTTTAAAAGCCACTAAATTTATCTCATTGGTGTGTTTTAGTTTGAAAGCCATTTATCTGAAGGTGTGAGATTTGATCCTTACTGTGGTGTAGTCAGTTTGACGATGGATATTGAGACATTCAATGAAGCTTTTAAAAGCCTTAATTGATCATTACCAGAGTTGTTGTGCATTACAGAACAAACTTTCCTGATGTTGCACGGGTGTACCCAGGATCAAGTGATTAAGCAAAGTTGCTTTGAAAACCCTGGGCGAATGATGGACCCCGGGGAAAATGACTAGCCATTAGACAGTTTCTAAATTGTTTGCACTGTTGTTAAAACAGCTGTAGTGCGTCTCTTCTCACAAATCTTCCACATTTTGTGCTCTCTCTCTCTCTGTCTCTCTCTGTGTCTGTCTGTGACTTGATCTGGCAATGTCATTCACATACTGTGTCTAAGCACAGTGCTCCGCCCCATTCTCAGTATAATTTTAAACAAATTTCTTATCCATCCAAGATGCCACAATTCCATGCATACCTTTTTAGCTTTTATTTATGCAGTATGAATATATTGAATACATTCTGGATCAAAAGTAGGTCCAATAAGTGACAAATAACAAAAAAACCCTTTCTTTTCAGTTGCTGATTTTTAAATTTTTTTTATGTATGTATTTAATCAGAAATATTTTTATGGTTATTTTAAATGTAAATGTAAATGCCGTGGCTCACCCTTTGGGATACACTGCCTTAGAGGATACCTCCCTAAATCTGGTGGTACATCTTGACCCTGAGAGCCTGCCCAAGGTCAGGTTGTTGATGCAAAAGACATTCTTTCTGGGAGGACACCTGGATGCCAAAATGTAGTTGTTGGAGGATGTCTCTGCTTTGTCATGATTAAAATACAGTATCGGGTTTTGCAGCACTAGTTCACTAAGTATGTCTGAAGAGACGGGACTTTGTTGAAGTGTTTCTGGAGCGGGGACAGCCCTATCCACCTCTGATCATTCAAGATTCACTTTATTTTCATTCAGCTGTTAACCAACAGGTACATAGCAAAAAGAAATTATGTTCCATATGACTTGGCATCAGACAACAACTTTGCACATCAATAGTAGGAATAAAAATCAGTATTTAATAAACCAGTAAATATTCTAAATGAATCTACTGGATCACTAATCACACTGATTGGCTTTCCCATGTGTGTTTTTTGATATTCCCCTGGACTCAGAGGGCAAGCATTGAGCGTCAGAGTTTATGAACTAGCATTAACTTTATTCAGTTGCAGCACAGTCCATATACACTCAGTGGCCACTTCTTTTTTTAGGTGCACCTGTACAGTTGTATGCAATTCACTGCAACACTTTCACCTTAACATCTGTGTTTATGAAGATCAAAATGTTAGTTTTTGGTGACATTGTGATAAATGTATAAATTCAATTCTATGTTTGAGGTTATAGTTAAAGGTTGTGTTGTACTGGACTACATTATATTCAGAGCTGTTTATAATATTCTGACTCATGTACAGTGCCTTGCGAAAGTATTCGGCCCCCTTGAACTTTGCGACCTTTTGCCACATTTCAGGCTTCAAACATAAAGATATAAAACTGTAATTTTTTGTGAAGAATCAACAACAAGTGGGACACAATCATGAAGTGGAACGAAATTTATTGGATATTTCAAACTTTTTTAACAAATAAAAAACTGAATAATTGGGCGTGCAAAATTATTCAGCCCCTTTACTTTCAGTGCAGCAAACTCTCTCCAGAAGTTCAGTGAGGATCTCTGAATGATCCAATGTTGACCTAAATGACTAATGATGATAAATAGAATCCACCTGTGTGTAATCAAGTCTCCGTATAAATGCACCTGCACTGTGATAGTCTCAGAGGTCTGTTTAAAGCGCAGAGAGCATCATGAAGAACAAGGAACACACCAGGCAGGTCCGAGATACTGTTGTGGAGAAGTTTAAAGCCGGATTTGGATACAAAAAGATTTCCCAAGCTTTAAACATCTCAAGGAGCACTGTGCAAGTGATAATATTGAAATGGAAGGAGTATCAGACCACTGCAAATCTACCAAGACCTGGCCGTCCCTCTAAACTTTCAGCTCATACAAGGAGAAGACTGATCAGAGATGCAGCCAAGAGGCCCATGATCACTCTGGATGAACTGCAGAGATCTACAGCTGAGGTGGGAGACTCTGTCCATAGGACAACAATCAGTCGTATACTGCACAAATCTGGCCTTTATGGAAGAGTGGCAAGAAGAAAGCCATTTCTTAAAGATATCCATAAAAAGTGTCGTTTAAAGTTTGCCACAAGCCACCTGGGAGACGCACCAAACATGTGGAAGAAGGTGCTCTGGTCAGATGAAACCAAAATCGAACTTTTTGGCAACAATGCAAAACGTTATGTTTGGCGTAAAAGCAACACAGCTCATCACCCTGAACACACCATCCCCATTGTCAAACATGGTGGTGGCAGCATCCTGGTTTGGGCCTGCTTTTCTTCAGCAGGGACAGGGAAGATGGTTAAAATTGATGGGAAGATGGATGGAGCCAAATACAGGACCATTCTGGAAGGAAACCTGATGGAGTCTGCAAAAGACCTGAGACTGGGATGGAGATTTGTCTTCCAACAAGACAATGATCCAAAACATAAAGCAAAATCTACAATGGAATGGTTCACAAATAAACATATCCAGGTGTTAGAATGGCCAAGTCAAAGTCCAGACCTGAATCCACTCGAGAATCTGTGGAAAGAACTGAAAACTGCTGTTCACAAATGCTCTCCATCCAACCTCACTGAGCTCGAGCTGTTTTGCAAGGAGGCATGGGCAAAAATTTCAGTCTCTCGATGTGCAAAACTGATAGAGACATACCCCAAGTGACTTACAGCTGTAATCGCAGCAAAAGGTGGCGCTACCAAGTATTAACTTAAGGGGGCTGAATAATTTTGCATGCCCAATTTTTCAGTTTTTTATTTGTTAAAAAAGTTTGAAATATCCAATAAATTTCGTTCCACTTCATGATTGTGTCCCACTTGTTGTTGATTCTTCACATAAAATTACAGTTTTATATCTTTATGTTTGAAGCCTGAAATGTGGCAAAAGGTTGCAAAGTTCAAGGGGGCCGAATACTTTCGCAAGGCACTGTATGTAGCTGGGGAGGACAAAAATATAGAGACACCTCTGAATGATGACAACAATTGCAAAGACTAATAATAATAATGAGTCTAGGGAATATGTTAGACCTAAATGTAGGCAAAATGTGGAAAGTTTGTGAGAAAAGAGAAACACCACAGCTGTTTTAACCATAGTGCAAGCAATTTATAGATGGTG